TAACAGAGGTCTTATGTTTCGGGGCTTATATTGTTGAACAAAAGCACAAACGGAGGACAAAATTGACTGAAAACAAAAACAAAAGGTTAAGGACATGTATTTTGTTTGTTTTTTCAGTGCAGGGACCGATATGACAATGCGAGCCAAGATTGGAGACGAAAGTGGGGTACATTTGATGAGATCCATTTCCTGAAGTTACTTGACAAGCAACATAACTCATACGCATGATTGAAATTAAAAATATGCTATCCGCAATAATTTGTAGACGAGACCAAACAGCCAATCCCCCCCCACAAACATGCCCTCAACAACTCATGAATATGGACATGCCCAAACAAATAACCAGGGAAGAAAATATAAACTATCTGAACAGATATTAAACTGCAAGGGTCATCATAACACCAAGAGGAAAAAGGACCTTTTTTTTTAACAAATATACTTATTGTTATCATTTGGGTAAATAGAAACAAAAATCCTACCGAGGTACCAGCTAAAAAAGATCAAGTAGTTGATAAAAATACCTGAGCTGAGCCAAGAATGTATACTGCTGAATAATGTCGACCATGAATTACCATGTCAGCCACCATTGCCAGAGGAATGGTGAGTGACATACCCAAAGTGGCCACAAGGGGAGTAGTCCATACCACGCAAAGTGCCCTGGGTGGATAGTTAAAGATTGAGTTATTACAAGGATTTGAATCAATAAACTTAAAGTAGGCTTCTCATGTACCAGAAGTAATCTGAAAGTACGCTTCCAATAAATCCATTTGCAAGAACCACTTCGTCCAGTTTAGCAGAGTGGGGAATGCTGAATTTTGGTTCAATTCCTAAGGCCATCAAAGGCCAGACTGAGGGAAGTATAGAAAAGAATTAGCAATCTTTTAGTGTAGCAATTCATAGTTTTTCATGCTCGACATATAAATGAGATCATAAAGTAGTAAGCTATTGGTGAGTAACTGCAGAAACATTAATAAGAAAAAAACTTACCAAGCCACCACAGTGCTACTAGGGTAAACAATCCAATATACCCAAACAGCTTTTGCACATCAACCCTTTCTCCTTCGCCAGAAAATTTCTTAAGAAGAACTGCAGTAGTAATGATTCAAGAAATGGTCATGATCTATCTAAATTATCTTATTAAAACAGAACAGCCAGGACATTGCTCAACCTGTAAATAGACCATATGACATAGCTGAGAGAATTCCAAAAAGATCGCCAACCAAAGAATGCTTTCCATTGCTGAGAAAAACATAAACTGTCAATGTCCCAAATAAAGCATTACAAAGAACAAGATGTAATAATATATTTATTTATAAGACTCGGTCTCAGATTAAGAACAGTCCTGATGACAGCATCCCAGGATAGTGGAAATGTCACGAAAAACAAGAACTTGGCTCCCTAAAGTTATGCCATATGATTTAAATAATTATCTTTACTTTTGTATTAGAATCCTTTTAGTTCCATCCTTATGAATGACATATATACATTAACGAACATACACAGAAAGAGATAGATTTCTAAGAAATACAAAACAGGACAAAGAAAGATCAGTTGAAATTATATTTTTTACCTCAATGATTTTCCTGTCATTTTGACATGAATTATTTACGGGGACTTTTTTAGTTACTCTGTAACTTTCAGGTAATTATATCAGAGTTGAAGTTGAGTCATAATATTTTGTATTGTACTATGACGTTTTCTGTTTGAGATTCAGCTAAAACTAACCACTATTCAGCTATAACTAGAAAATTTGCTAAATGCGATTTAGCCATAAAAAGGATAAAAAAGCTTACGCATCACTTAATTGAGATTCATCCGCAGCCCAAGTTTTCCCCATTGTTGTCATGACAACCCCAGCCATGCTGACTAAGACAGCAACTACTTTTGCTACATTTAAAGAGTCTTGACCCATAAATGCACCAATGAAAAGTGTGAAAAGTCCTGAAGTTGATGATAATACTGTTGTACTTGCAACACTTGTTCGTGCAAGGGCAGCATTTGATAGGTACTGAAAGCAACAGAAGATAATTAATAAAGCACCATTGCTACTTCCCTAAAGCTGTTATGGAAACAGCAGAATAAGCAAAAAAGTTCAGCATTTACAACTGAAAAACATCTCCGTGGAGAAAAAAGAATAAAAGTATAAAATGAAGAAAAGGCATGTTGAAAAAGTTCCATAGAATCAATTACAGGCTGTCAGCAAAAAATACAAAAGTTGAAAGTATGAGAAGCATGGAAACATCTTATTCTACTAATATGAACAATACGGCAATCAACTAACTACAGGACAGGTGAACTTAGACTTAGGTTCTATATGAATTATCTATCCAGTGTGACGAAGGGTCAGGTGTTCTGAAGTTTTCCCTAGAGTATAGGATATATGCATGTATTGATCTACAATATGGTGTAGAAAATCTGTTCACGCAACATCAACTTATCAGCAAGAGAGAGCACTGGTCCAAAGAGATTATAATAGTGTTGGGTTTGTGTTTTGCATTTTCTAAGTCATTGTGGAAGGAGACATCTATCAACGACTTTAACTGATATGATTTTAATATAATGTCACATCTTGTCAACTCAGTATCATAGCCTCCTCGTAGGTCAGATAATCAAGCATTTTTTGTCCTTCTTAACCACAAAACAGAACAGTGATATCACTCTGCAGTTACCTCTGTTATAAACCAGATAGGTGCAATGTAAAACCCATAAGCAGCAATTTCCTTCGCAGTAAGTTCTTTCTCCACCTTTAGCACATTAGTATTATCATTATATTTAGCTACCAATGGCTTTACTTCTGAAAGTGTCGCAAGGTCTAAATCACTATCTTTCCGAATCACACTCCCCAGTTCTAGTTCAAAATTTTTCTGCACTCCATTGCTTTTGAGAGGAGAGCTAATGCTGACAGAAAACTCATCCACGCACTCTGCATTTTTACCACTTTTAGAGGAGCGGGATTTAAGTAAGTTACAGAACCAGTCCTTAATGAATGCTATTGGGAGGTAAACTACCATAAGAGAAGCTCCAAGATATGTCACTGCAAACGGCTGCTTATAATCTGTAAAAATATCCTGTAGAGAAAGATTTTTCAGAAAATTATTCACATGTATAAACTTGGAGGCTGAAATTGTTGCATGACAATGTAACATTAAATAGAAGTCTTGTTGCAAGAATATTAATAGTATTAATACGAATATAAATCATCAATTAACAGTGTCCACCTGTGGGCACATGTAACATACAGCAACATAAGATATAACTGGAAATGCATATCGAACGCTCCTCCAAAGAACCAAGAACAAATTGTATGATACGTGGCTTTTCAACACTCACTCAAAACTATGATGACCAAATGTTTCCGGGTTTGCTATACTATAGTAATTGTTCTACTTCACCAAAAGGACATAGGGTCTGTTTGGATCAACTTAACTTCTTCATAAGATATTTTTTTACAATTATTTTCATATTAGCTTCTCTAATAGATGATTTTTAATTCATGTATAAGTTATTTCCAATTTCTGAAAAAATAATATTTCTTCTTTACTTCTTCTTTCTGTCCTAAGAGCATTTATAAAATTACCCAAACATACCCAACTATCGGATTAAATGATTGAATTATAAAGTTTGAAATGCTTCATAGCATGAAATAATAAAAAGGCTGATCCTTACAAAGAGCTGTAATGTAACTCAAGTGGTACCAAGTGTATTAGAAGAGTTGAAATGGGATCGGAAACCGAAGAATTCGAAGTTANCCCGTGGAGAAAAAAGAATAAAAGTATAAAATGAAGAAAAGGCATGTTGAAAAAGTTCCATAGAATCAATTACAGGCTGTCAGCAAAAAATACAAAAGTTGAAAGTATGAGAAGCATGGAAACATCTTATTCTACTAATATGAACAATACGGCAATCAACTAACTACAGGACAGGTGAACTTAGACTTAGGTTCTATATGAATTATCTATCCAGTGTGACGAAGGGTCAGGTGTTCTGAAGTTTTCCCTAGAGTATAGGATATATGCATGTATTGATCTACAATATGGTGTAGAAAATCTGTTCACGCAACATCAACTTATCAGCAAGAGAGAGCACTGGTCCAAAGAGATTATAATAGTGTTGGGTTTGTGTTTTGCATTTTCTAAGTCATTGTGGAAGGAGACATCTATCAACGACTTTAACTGATATGATTTTAATATAATGTCACATCTTGTCAACTCAGTATCATAGCCTCCTCGTAGGTCAGATAATCAAGCATTTTTTGTCCTTCTTAACCACAAAACAGAACAGTGATATCACTCTGCAGTTACCTCTGTTATAAACCAGATAGGTGCAATGTAAAACCCATAAGCAGCAATTTCCTTCGCAGTAAGTTCTTTCTCCACCTTTAGCACATTAGTATTATCATTATATTTAGCTACCAATGGCTTTACTTCTGAAAGTGTCGCAAGGTCTAAATCACTATCTTTCCGAATCACACTCCCCAGTTCTAGTTCAAAATTTTTCTGCACTCCATTGCTTTTGAGAGGAGAGCTAATGCTGACAGAAAACTCATCCACGCACTCTGCATTTTTACCACTTTTAGAGGAGCGGGATTTAAGTAAGTTACAGAACCAGTCCTTAATGAATGCTATTGGGAGGTAAACTACCATAAGAGAAGCTCCAAGATATGTCACTGCAAACGGCTGCTTATAATCTGTAAAAATATCCTGTAGAGAAAGATTTTTCAGAAAATTATTCACATGTATAAACTTGGAGGCTGAAATTGTTGCATGACAATGTAACATTAAATAGAAGTCTTGTTGCAAGAATATTAATAGTATTAATACGAATATAAATCATCAATTAACAGTGTCCACCTGTGGGCACATGTAACATACAGCAACATAAGATATAACTGGAAATGCATATCGAACGCTCCTCCAAAGAACCAAGAACAAATTGTATGATACGTGGCTTTTCAACACTCACTCAAAACTATGATGACCAAATGTTTCCGGGTTTGCTATACTATAGTAATTGTTCTACTTCACCAAAAGGACATAGGGTCTGTTTGGATCAACTTAACTTCTTCATAAGATATTTTTTTACAATTATTTTCATATTAGCTTCTCTAATAGATGATTTTTAATTCATGTATAAGTTATTTCCAATTTCTGAAAAAATAATATTTCTTCTTTACTTCTTCTTTCTGTCCTAAGAGCATTTATAAAATTACCCAAACATACCCAACTATCGGATTAAATGATTGAATTATAAAGTTTGAAATGCTTCATAGCATGAAATAATAAAAAGGCTGATCCTTACAAAGAGCTGTAATGTAACTCAAGTGGTACCAAGTGTATTAGAAGAGTTGAAATGGGATCGGAAACCGAAGAATTCGAAGTTTGTTTGTATGCAGCTCAAGTGCAGACAAAAGATACAAGCCTGCACTTTAGCCGCACTTCCTTTCCCCAAATTAGATGTCCAGATCTTGTATCTCATTATTATATCACAAAGAAATGCAACCCCAGGATTGCGGAGGTTTGGAATATCAAGTCAAACGAAGTCAAACATCAATTTGCACTCAGTTTTGATTGGGTGATCGGTATAACCAGAACCAGGAATAAATATTTAACCTCATTCAACAAATACCAAAGAATCATAACCTAAGAATCAAGGACAGTAACTAGGAATCCCATAAAAAAAAGGAAGAACAAAAATTGGTTAAGTTCGTACCTGGGTAACTTCAGCTGAGGTAACCCAAATAACAACGACAGTGGCTATTAGGAACAAGCCAGCGTTGTATCTCCAACCCATCGCAAAAACAAACTATGCCCCGATGGACGAAGAAACTGCCAGATCCGTACTCTTCCACACCAATTTCCCTACCAGATCTTAATCTTTGCCTTGCTTTAGAATAGAGCAAAACGCAACAGAACTGGGTGAGGTATGGTGGGTGCAGGATTCTTGTAACCACCGAAAAGCCAAGTCTATGAGGAAAACGTTAAAATTAAGTTCCTTTTAATTTGTTATTCCCTTAATTAATTCTTCCTCACCTGTCACAGTACGTATCATTATTAACAGAACCACCTCTTTCCCAATTACAGAAATTAGTATATTTAAATTTAGAAAAATTAGTATATTTAAATTTACAAAAATAGGACAACAACTTAGTGCTCTGAAAAGAAAATATTAATCCACAAATTACAAATTTAAAAATGTGGGAAGACATTATGGTATTATTAGTATTGTAGTTTTAATATATTTTTTATATCAAGGTGTTGAATTTCTATTACAATTATTAAAAGTGGTTTTAAATATCTTCATATGTATGGTTATATTTTAACTGTTAAAATTAAGTCGGTTTCTATATGTGAAATAACGTTTGTCTAATAATTGTGTATAATATGAAAACGCGACGTGATATTAATTTAAAATTAATGTAAAACGTTAACATAAATAAAGTATGAAATCGCATTGTGTACTATATTCTAATATTTCCTTTTATAAAAGGATATAGATTAGCTTGTTTATTATGAGCTGAAATGTAACCAAAGAGGTCCAGTTTTAAATGATTAAATACTATAAAAATTAAATATGGATTATTAAAACTATAAATATAATTAAATTAAATAGTCATTAAAAAATAGTTTAGCCCTGTCACTTACGTTGCATGCATCCATTAACCCATAAAGATGAAAATGATATCTTATTTTGATTGATATGACATTATCTTACAGCATAATAATAAAAATAATATTCATTAGTTTTGATTGATGAAGATAATATTTGCATAAAGAAAAATGATTTTATAAACTTTCTTACTCAAAATTTTTTTAGCGTAATTCAGATGTAAACACAAAATTATATATATATATATTATATATATATATATATATATATATATTTAGTTTTTCTTACCGTGAAATTAACATTGCACATTAAATATTTTTAAATTCCCTCTCATCATCAGCAACGAAATAAAGGTAAAAGAACACATAGCAGTTCTCCCTGCACCTCACCTCTTTCTCCCTGCACCTTTCATTTTACATTTTTGTCATTCACAAAAATTAATGATTACTTAATGATTTCTCAACCACGTATAAACCCTAAATATCACTGTTACTATACATGTACCCTTTCATTATTATTTTTCTGACTTTCATTTTTCACTCCTTCAATTCTTTAGTGCACTGTTATATGTTTTCTCTAGTTGTGCCCGGTAGTGCTATGGACAGTAATAGTGGAGGAAGTAAAGATTGGTGGTGATGCTATGGAGAGTGGAAGAGGAAGAAGGCAACTAAAGTTACAGGTTAGTATATAATTTTTGAAGTAAACACGTAAACCTCTAGGAGTAAACACGTAAACCACTGTTCAAGATGCGGTTAACATTGGCGCAGTTGGAACGCCGATTAAAGTAGGCCGAAATTCGATTTTCGGCTCACCCCAACCAGACTTCAAAATGCGGTTTACGGGTGCCGCACTTTCAAGTGCGATTTCACTATGCTTTCGTTTTCTTTTTCATTTTCGCACTTCTAGCCTTCACCTGCTTATCGTTTTATGTTTATTAGTACTTTTCTTTCTAAAATATGAACAATTAATAAATAATAAATATTGAAACAAATAATAAATAATCATAAAATAAAAATAAAATAAAATAATCAAGAAAAATTAATAACAACAAAAATTACTTCATAAATAATACTTAAATAATTACAAATTACAACAAATACATTAAAATAATAAATAAATTAAGAACAAAATAATAAGTCAAAAATATAAAATTTAGGCATAATAATTATTATTTAATGAAATAAATAACAAATTCAGAAAAAAAAAATTAAACAACTAAATATTATGGAGAAGCACCCAAAAACAAATTATAAAACAACAAAAACAACAAATTAACAAACAAAAAATAAAAAAATACTACGAAACATGGAGAAGCACCCAAAAAACCAAAACACTCTCCGCAGGTTCACCAGCAACCGCCTTCCAAGCGGCTCTCAACGCACCTCGCTCCTCTGTCGCACTTCGTCGCGAACTTCGGCCAACACCACTAGTCGCACCTCTATTTGCGGCGTTCCGCAACCGCACCTCCGATTGCGGCATTGCTCAACCGCACATCCAAGTGCGGTTCTTGTGAACACTAACCGCACTTTCATGTGCGGCGTCCCTCCCTCTCTTATACACTTCTCACCACAGATCCAAAGATCACAACACAAATCCGAACATCACAATCCACATAATCAACCCCAAACCCAGATCAATCATCCAACATACCATAATAACAACATTTAAGACAACAAATCATGATTATATAGGAGCAGTAGAAATTACACAAACACGAAGAAATGCAAGCATTGATATCCTAGATCTTACCACCACAGCAACACCAAACATCCACCAACAACAACACCGAACATGAGATGAGGACAGGTTCACATTAAATGGTGAAAGTGGTGAGAGACAAAAGAGGGAGGAGGGCACGACTATTGGCTGTAACAAAGGAGAAACCAAGAACTATGGGGTTGAGATATCAAATTCGGCACAGGAGAAGGAAGAAAAAGGGGTGTAGGGTTTTTAAGACGTGAAATGCGGCACTGAGTGGAGAAAGGAGTCTAGGGTTTGTTTTTCAATGCATGGGTCAGCTTTTTCAGCTTTTTTGAAAATTAATATATTCTCACAGGACTCGAATTGGAAATATCAAAATAATGGGAAGTGCAAGATTAAGTCAATAAGGTATAAGGAGAAACACTTAAGAACACAAGCTAAATGTAAAATACATAATTAAATAATTTAATTTGTAAATAGATATAAAACATTCTTTATTTGAGAAATAATAATTTACTAACCCTAAAAGTAACAATACTTGAAAGCTAATTGCAGTTATATCTTAAATGCGCCTTTGATGCTGAGAATTTTTATTTTCGTGTCATATTGCCGACAACAGGTTAGGTTGAAATCAAATAAACATGGTGACACATAAATAGTAAGATGTACACGGATACACACAAATATAAACAGGGGCCTGTATACTGCATCGACCTGTGCAAATACTATGTAATTAAATTTTAAGTTTATAGGTAATTTTAAGGGATTATCTGTTAAAAAATTTTTGAGGTAAAGTAGTTTTTATTTTATATTATCATTGTATTTTTTTTATGAAAAATTAAGAAAAAATTAAAAATTTAAGTCTTATACAAAGTTGAACATTTTTAATTATTTTTTATAAAAAAATATATTTTTTAATAAAAGGTCACATCACTTATATTTACAATAAAAATGTAATGGTAAAATTTTTTGAATATTTAATAGAATAAGCATATTTTATTTCATCTTAATTAAAATTATCTGAATTTACGAAATTTAAAATTAACTAGATTTGGTTTTTTAAATAGTATATGAGTAATGTAAATAAAAATTATACCAACCAAGGACTAGGTTAAAATATAAAAATATTAATATTTAATATAACAAGAACTTTGATTACGAAGTTAATTAAAAATAACAATATATAGATTCCAATATAATTAAAATATCCAACAAAAATTAAAGTGTCCAATTTATATAATTGGACCAATAAATAATTTAAACATTCAAATTGTTTAAATATTTTTAATACTACTATAATATTGAAAAATCAAAATTAACGTAGTAAACATATACAGTAAAAATTTGATTAAAATATAATAGATATTGTTAACTTTAGATGTTTATTTTTTGCACCTCACTTCTTCTTCTTACACCTCAATAAAATGTGAAATTATCAAATTATCTCTTATTAAAATTATAATCAAAATTTCTGTACCACCTTTTCTAAATAATTTTTGAATTAAATATTTAGAAATGTATTTTAAAATTTGAAAATATATTATAAAATATTTAATCTGAAATATAAAGTATTGCATTTTTAAATAGTTATTTTGAAAATTATTTTGGATTTTTTTTCAAAATACTTATTATGAAAATTATTATATATAAAACTATTGTTATAACATCCTATTTAATAGTATAGAATAGTATAAAGTGAGATTTTATTTTAAAATAATCAATAATATAAATCTTAAAACTCGTCTGATTACTTAAACAAAAATCATGACTCTAAAGCTCGTTTCTTGAGTTTCTCTTCCTTTTCTTTAAGAAATCTAACTCCTCGATCATCTGTTTGATGATCGCGAAGTACTTAGAAAATCATGGTTGAGTAATCTTCATTCATATCTGATCAGTTCTTAGAACAAGTAAGTTTCAACTTATTTTGTCCTTTCGTTCTTGGGTTGAAATTGTGCATATTGATTCTCTGTCTGCTTGTATATTATGTTATCTTTTTCTAATGTATTGTTAATTGAGGTTCAAGGACTCACTTCAGTCGCATTTAGTGCTTGTAAGTGTTTTTAGAGTTTATTGCATTGAAGCAACTATCAGACGTTTTTAGAGTTGTAATAGTTCTCTTAAAGGCAAGGGAAGCTAATATTACCTTATGTTAAAATATAAAATATGAACTGTTCGCCCAATGTGCTATTGTATGTCGCCCAACAAGAGCGCAAATAGAGAGCTTTTCCAACCCAGCGAGAAATCTCGTCCAGCCTTTGAAACCTATTGTCAAACATCAATATTACTCGCCCATCGACCCATATACTCACCCAGCCAATCTGCAGAATTTTGTAGAAGATCAATTATGCATAATTTACACTCCTCAACCTCAATTGTTCTAACTCCCACACCTCCACATGTATATACAACTCTCATTTGATATTTCAAACCGTAACTGAACTCATCCAAGTGTTTATGACTCAACTTAAACTCTATTAGTCTTATTTTCCATAAATTTCTAACATTTCACCAAAACACCATTATAAAGCTCAAAATTTATTCTTACTCATTCTCGTCAAAATGGTAAATTTCAACCTCTAAAACAAGTCCTAAATATATAACCTAGAAACAAGCTTTAAATCTTAAGATTCTACATTTCACCCTTATCACAAAATCTCGTCTAT